GCTGAGTGGTAGAAGTTGCATGTTACAGATTTCTTCTTATAGTGCCAAGCTTGTGTGTTCATCACTTATGTTCAAACTGCACTTCCATGAGTAACTTTTCATAAGGTTTTATTTGTACATTTTTATAGTTCACAGTCTGTCAGTCAAATGTTTTCTGGTTTGGATATTGGCAGATAAATTCTTCTACTTTCTCTAGGGACTGTGCAGCCAAATAAAATTACTGTTTGGTTTCAGAGGGGGTTGAATGAGTAAAAATAGTGGACAAGGAAATTCAAGTTTTAAAAGGAGTAGTGTAAATTTTAAATCTGGTAATATGGAGGACTTGGTGTCCATGTATATATACATAGAGGTAACATGGGAAGAAAATGTGAAGAACAACAGCTTCTTCCTAGATTGACTTTATTTGTAACAAGCCTGCATTTTCAATAATGGCTTGTGACATTTGCTGCAGAGGATAAGGCAGAACCAGTCTCAAAATGTGCTATTTTGAGAAAGTGAGAGTGACTGAAGACAGGGATAGCATCCAGGAAGAAACCTGGGGAATCCCAATCCAAACCTGTGATCGGTTTGTGAAACTTCAGCTGTCTCACACTTCAGTTGTGGCTTGGGCTTGCTTTATTTTTTTAAGCACATCAACAGATATATACAAAGCCTTCATAACAATGGAAAAGTATAAGGTGTGCATGGATGAATAACAGTGTGCAATTTGCTGCTACTGCCCTGAAGAGCGTGCAGTGCACATACTGTGACTGGAAATCCTTCATCCACAACTGGTAAGAGAGAACTGAAAAATAACATTAGTCATGAAAGGGTTAAACTGTAAGATAGCTGCTTCAAGAAAAGGATAATCTATAATTTAAGTCCAGAGAGTGAAGCAGCTCTTTCATAATGTAAGTAAAAGCTGTTATGCCGTTGGGAAAGCATATACACTGCTTGCAGAAGGAATGATTATTTTGGTTTTTCCATTATAGTAGATTGTACAGAGGGGCTGACAAAGCAGCACTCTCTGGTGAGGAGGCTGGGAGGGGAAAGGGCACAATACTGTGCTCTAGGAGGGGGGAGTTTCTCTGCCAGCACTGCTGCTGGTTCCTTTGGCTGCTTTCTACCATATTAGCTGGGCCTATTTATTTCCAGAGTGAATTTTATTTGAAAAGCAGCAATTTCCCAAGAAGATGAAATGCAATCGGCTTTTTAAAAAGTAAAAAAAAAAAAAAAAAAGATTGCATCGTGCTTTGTGTTTCAGAGTTTGAGATTTGAATGCCAGACAGGCTCTACTATTCCTGTCATTCCTGTCAAAAGCCGTATATGTGGAAACGCTGAAGTGGAAGGGAACTGCATGGAAAGCAGCCCTTTTAAGAAGCTGAGGTTTTGTAAGTACAGAAGCTGAGATGGGGTTGTAACAAAGGCTCTGTGTTGAGCTGTTGCACATCAGAGCCAAAAAACCCCTAAGGGGCACATCTCTAGTACCATGTCTAGCAGATTATGCATGCAACTCGGGTTGCCAGTAATGAGTTGTGTGGCTAATCTGTCATGCACAGCACTGCACAGCTCCCCTTCCCCCAAGAGGCTGAGCTCAGGGCACTTTGCTTCCCCACAGGGTGCTGAGCACCGTTAGTGGGACAGGAAAACCGTGTTCCACCTGGCTGCCCAGCCAGAAAACAGAAAGAAAAATTATCCTTAACAACAACTCTAGCCACCAGAGACAGGACTGTTAGACCCCAAGGGGGTTTACTTATCTACACTGATACGCCACAAATTAAAAAGAGGCATTAGAAATAGCCCTGATGGAGCACAGAAAAGCCTGTCCCTTGGTTTATTTTCTCACTGATTTAACGATCCAAGTGTTTTCAATTTACAGCTCAAATGCTTATTTACTAAAAATTTGCCAGCATGACAGAGTCCTCTTGAAATATGAAAACTCAAGTCATGTTCCAGCCCTGAGACTGTCACACACACACATTCAGTCACGCATCAGCTTTTGCTGTAATTGGAGCAGGGTCTAGGCTGCCGGGCCCGTAGCTGCACTAGATCTGTGAGGCTAATGTGATTACCTGTTTGTTAAAAAAAAAAAGAAAAAAAAGAATCTTTGCCCAAATACCCATGTAGCAAAAGAGTAGAAAAAAGCTTTTAAAAATAGCTGGTTTATCTCAGCCTTCAGAAGTCTGAATTTCCCAGGGTGTTCCTCAGCTGAATTTTATTGTGAGTCTGTGAAGGTGAATTATTAAATCAAATGCTAAAATTTATATTAATATATGTATTAAAATCGTTATAATAGCAGTGATATTCCCATGGAATGATAGGGCTTCAGTAATGGAGACCTTAAGAAAAAAAATGTAACTACTAAGAGTTTTAGCATTAAAATCCCTAGACTTAGCCACGTTCCTATAAATTCGCAGTGGCTGAGCCCGCGTGTTCACGGCCGAGTTGGGTACAGGCTGTTCCACATGTGGGGTCGGCCAGGCAACGAGCCTGCCTTGCTCTTCACTGCATACCCAGCCTTTCTTTCATTCAGTCCCAGAAGCTGGAGCCTGGCTCTCCAACACAAGGCTGGGAAGTGCCGTCAGGTTCAATTTCCCAGCTGCTGCCTAAGACAGGAGCAGATTTTTTCCCAAGCCTGCAGCATAATAAGGGGGTTTGGTTATTTTTGTGCCAGTGTTGCAATACTCAGAGATTGGGCTCCCACTAGACTGGGTGTTGCACATATTTTAAGAGAACAATCCATGCCGCTAGCAACATACATTTTTCCTACATGGGTGGACAGATGCAGCAAACAACAAGGAGAGCAAAAGGTGGCAGTGAGCACAAAACCATAACATGATGGAGGAGGAGGGGGACAGAGCTGTACAAGGACTGGGCAGGCTTTGCAGGTGGAGAGGGTTGTCTAGAATGGAAGAGAATCAAATTGTCTTGAATAGAGGGAAGGTGAACAGTGGACCAGATGCTGTGAAAGAACGGGATAGACATCAAGGGAAAATAAACTCTAAGGCAGGAGTCTCAGGCTTGACTGAAAATAGCAGCTCCTTCCTTACAAGTTGAGAATATCAGTAAAAAGATGCCAATTAGTAGAATGTCAGGAAGGATGGGGCAGTGTGTTTGGAGAATGATGTATTTTGTGTCTTTCCCTCACAATGACATGTTTTGATAGCTGTTTTAAAACAAACCCTGAGTGTTTTCAACAATGGAGGGGACCCTCTCTTCTTTTTTTGGAAAGGGTGATAGAAGAAGGGGATGGAATGTGTGATGTATATTGATAATGGCTCACAGGGAAGAGTCATCCAAGACCCAAAAGACTGGCTACACCAGAAATATCAATGGGTTATTTGAATATTTATCAATGGGTTATTTGAATATTTACATTTTCAAGGAGGAATCTTCTGTTTGTTCTGCACACCAGGGACTTCTTGGCCAGTCTAAACAGTAAAGGTTTCTAATGTAAATAATTGCTTTGCTGCCTTCTGTCATGCATGGGGAGTAGGGGTGGGAAGTCCCTCAAAGAAGAGGAGGGAGAAGGTGCTTTGAAGAAGAAAAGACAAACCTCAAACGTGACAATGAAAGTGTGCACTTGAGCTTTTTCCTTTTGTCACCCTCCCTGTTACCAAAAATTGGTCTTATGTATACCTGTGCACATCCTAGAGTGGGATGCTGGGATTTTAGCATTTTATGTCAGTTCATTAGTTTTAGTAAACTATGTATAATAGCCAAAGAGGGAGGAAAAGGCTGACTCAGATCATCTGTCCCTGGCATTATGCAGCAGGTACCTGCCTAGTTCCCACCTGGCAGTAGTTGATAGCTTCTGTGCTGATGGGGGGCTGCTCCTGCTTTTCCTCTTTTTTCCTTTTTTTTTTTTTTAAGCAACTTATGGAAACCAGGTGTGGTTTGAAAACACAAACTTTTTAATGTCGGCCTTCAGGTTCATGTACATAAGGCTTTGTGACTCTGGTGTCTTGTCACATGATCATTGTTGCAGGGCTAGTAACATTGTAAAAGTTCTGATTCAGAAATTGTACCTATAGGGCATCCAATGAAATTACATTGAGATGACTGTTCTCACTGTAAATAAGGAGCTTATTTTGCCAGGAGCTGGGACCTCTCTGCACTCCTAGGCTTGCAGATCTGGAGCCATCAGCAGCACTCTGGAATCTTACTGGAAAATCTGCACGGGCCGCTGCTCAAGAGGCTTCAGAGGAACAGGAGATCTTAGTGACCTCAGTTAATTTGGTGAATAGCTTATGGATGTCATAAAATGAGCTGAAGGCTGGAAGATCACATTGAAGTTCCCATCTCTGACGTAACTTTTAAATAATCATATGTAAAATAATGATGCATTATTGAAAAGAAAAAAGAACCCCAACCTGAAATTTCTGGGGCAAACTCTTATTTTTGGGGTGTGACTGGGGAAGATGATGCTCATTTATCTGTATATGTATATACAAAGGGCCAAAATGTGTTTATAGCTCTAAAAGCCGTCATGACAGAGGTTCTGTGTGACCTTCCTCCAGCTTTGATCCCTCTGTGTCCCTGCGGGACAGGGTACTGGGGACCTCCCCAAGCGGTGGCCGGCCTTGAGCTCCCAGATGGAGCCTGGTGGGAGCGGGCTCGGCCCTTCCCTCGCTTTCCGGCGTGACCTTGGCCGGCTGCTTGGGGAGGGTACTTCGGGCACTCTCTCCAGTGATGGAGGGCCCTGGGGCATCTCGGGCGGTGCCGGGTCCCCGGGGTGTCTCTGCAGAGAGCGGGGGTCCGAGGGCGGCTCCGGGCGGGAGCGGGGCGCCCGGGGACAGCCTCCCGCCATCTCCGGGCGGCCCGGCCGCGCCCCCGGCACAGGGGGGCGGTGGCTCCCGGTCCCCTCCCGCCCCGTCCCGTCGCGCCGGAGCCCCCCGGGGCCGCCCGGGGGTGGAGCCGTCGGCCCGGCCCGGCCCCTCCCGCCGCCGCAGCGGCCGCGCAGCCCCGGGCAGCGGGCAGGGAGCGGAGCCGGGCTGGGCTGCCTTGAGCGCGGAGCCGCCGCCGCGGCGCGGGGCGGAGCCGGCACCGGGGCATCCTCCCTTCCCTGCCTGCCTCCCTCTCTCCCTGCCGCCCGCCCGGCATCGCCGCGGCGGCAGCGCGGCCGGAGGGTGCTGCCAGCGCCGGGCGGGAGCGGCGGAGCGCCGCCGGGGGTGCGCGGAGATGCTGTCCTACAGCGTGCTGGACGCCAACGTGGTGGACGTGGAGAAGCGGAGGAACCCCTCGAAGCACTACGTGAGTGGCGGCGGGGCCCGGCCGAGCCCCGGCCCCTCGGGGGGCGGCCACACGTGTGCGGGTGGGACGGGACGGGACCGGAGCGGTACCCCGGGTGCCGTCCCTCGCCTGGCTTTGGGGGAGACACCCGCCCCAGGTGAGGCGGCCGCGGGACCCCGGGGGCAGCGGGGACCCGCACGGCCTCCTGCTGTGGAGGTGCGGATCTTCTTCCTCAGCCTCTTTCATCCCGTTTGGTTCTTGGCTCGTTTTAGTGTTATGATTTTGAAGTTTCCTTCCCCTCTGGAGGTGGATCTTCCCTTCTTCCTCGCAAGACCCAGCGCAGGATGGGGAAGGTCTCCCAGGTCCCCGGGTTGTCCCATCCTGGCCGGAGTGCTCGGTGTGGAGGGGAGCAGGGCTCGGCTGCTGGTGGGACCAGGGAGCCGGCGGTACTGAGTGCATCTTCGCTCCTTCTCAAGCACAAATTACATTCAGACCTTTTTGAGGGGGCAGCCGGTCTGCAGGGTTATCAAGGCAGACTTGGCGTTTGGAGCTCTTTCATCTCTCGTTCGCCTTCTTCCTTTCACATCTTACTGCTAATAGCACAGCAGTAAAGGAGAGTTTTTAACAGTCTTCCCGTACTTCGGTATTGCAGCGTGTCATGTGGAGGTGTCTTTGCCTGAAAGAGTTTGCAGCACATATAGTCTAGTAGCTTTTGTCCTTCCACGTAAGTAGAGAAGGTATCTTTTCTTCTCTCTCTGGCTGCTTCTGGATTTTAGTTGCACCAAATCCTTTAACTCTTCTTCAAGATACAATATATATTTTTAAACACAGAAAATTGGATTTTGTGTATAGAGAAGGTAAATATTCCAGCTTTGGTAAGGAAAAGCCTGAGGGGGTGTTATATCTGCTGTGATATTGCCCTGAGTATACTGTGTTTCCTGGCATTGCTTGTCTGCCAGATTTCTTTAGAGCTGGTCAGCAGCTGAATGGATTGCTTGAAAGATAAGGACAAAGATTGGACTTAAACCTATGTATTAGTATTTCATACCACTGAGCTTTTCCCTCTAAGGCTTAGACCATAACCCAGTTTAAGGCTAGAGGGCACTATGTTGCTGGGAGATGCAGACTTGTAAAGCTGAAGCTCTCATCTACCATAGAGTTAAGCATCTTGTGCCTAATTCATAGGAGGAAGTTCTAGGTCTTATATCCTCTAAGGTTACAGCTGGACCTGTTGTTCAGTCTATTATGCACCCACCACTTCCAGGTGGGAAAGGCTTCTTCACCTTTTGCAAGCTGCTGCTGTAAATTGTGGCTGCCACAGCTGGAGGCTGTTATCCCACATGAAAGGTGACAGCAGAGAAGTAGGTCTGCCAAGCACCAAAATATAGAAAAGAACTGGTAACAACACTTCCCTGATCACCAAGAGAAATTGACGCTGTTCATTTCTTGTTTGTTGGAAAATAACCAGAAAACAAGGTTTAAAAATTCTGTATTTACAGGATTTGAAAGAAAATATTTCCCGTATTTACCTGTAGAAACACATCTTTGTTGTCCCTGTCACTGCATTTTAATAACAGTAACCTAAACTATTCCAAGAAGCTCTCTTTAGTGCTTCTAGTGGCAAATCTATATCTTTCCCTTCCCCCTTCTCACTGTACAGCTTTTCTAATATTCTGTACAACAGTTACACACTTCCATGTGTCCAGCTCTTGGCCAAAAAATCAAACCAAATGGTTTGTTGGGTGACTAGATGTGTGTCTGCCTTTTGTTCCGCTGACTCTCAATCTCTGGTTTTACAGTATTCAGGAAAATAGGGTCTGAGTTTACAAGCAAATGTTGGAATAATTCAGTTAAAAATAATAGTTTTCCATGTCCTTATGGAGCTTTTTCTTCTACATGAGTAAATTAGCCCACAGGTCCAAAAGTCTTGGACTATTCTTCATTTCCTCAGTTCCAGTTTGATGCAGATGCACATGCTGCAGCTTTTTAATCTACCTTTGGCTGGAGTAACTGACTTAAGGTGAACCCATACTTTCAAGGAATTTAATTCCCTGGGTCTGATCCACTGATCATGGTTACTTTGGTTCTGTGCTCTTTTTTAATGTGAAACAACTCTTATCTTCTGAAATTAATATGAACATAGCTTGGGATTTAGCTCTCTCCATTGCCTATGGGTAGTTTGGAGAGTACAAAGCTTTGTGCTCTCTGTCCTATGTGGCTCTGAAATATCAAGAAGCCTTTCTACCTCCAACATTCATAAACGACTTCATGCCATACCTTCAGGCCGTGTGAATGAGCCTTGGCATCAGATTAATGATGTGTTTCTCTGGTGGATGGGGGCCTGGATACTGCAGGTGTTTTAACGTGACTCTCTCCCCTTTTAATTGGGATCTCTCAGGACCATAGGGGGACCTGGAGATATGAAGGCACGGTCTTACCTTTGCGAGCGTTTGGAGAGGGCTAAATGTGAGTAGCACATAAGCTCCTGCACTGCTTGGCTTAGAAGCAAGGAGTCATTGCCTAGAGCAGGTGTTTTTCATGATATGAGCACAGCTTTTGTGGCCTTGACTCAAGAAAGTAAAAGAAAGAAGGCAGCTTTACTTGTCCTCTGCTATGATCCCATGAGTGTGAAACTTCTGAAGATATTAATAACTCACTGGAAGTTTTGTAGGGCTCTGCATGGGGGAAGAGATTAAAATCTTAGATCCAGTGCTATTCGATAGGAGTCCAGCCAGCTTTCTACCGTCTCCTGGGAAATGCCTACTAGGGAATGAGTCCACAATACTTCCCTCTGCATCTCTGTCAGCAACTGGTGGCACAACACCACCTGATTGGCTGGGGGCTCTGGATGGTGGCCTGTGAAAAGATAAACAGAAGGTTGGGTCAGTAACCACATGCTTCTTGAGTGGTATATCCCCAATACAAGTACCGCTGCTCTTACAGCTTTTGACTTACCAACTTCATTTCCCATTCTTTCTCCATGCTGATGGTGTTTTAAAAATTGATTTGCACTTGCTAATACTTTAAAAATGTTAAATCTCCTTGCTTTCCCCCTTCCCTTTTCTTTTAACAAGAACAATGTCAGGAAGGTCAAGTCTGGGTTTGTTGGAAAGACCCCTGATGCAGCAGGGGTCACACACTGGCTGAGCAGGGCTGTGGTGAAGCTGGGTGGATTAGGACGGTGTGGTTAATGGTTGAAGGTGTCAGTTAATCATTCTGAAGAGAAAAAGCTGGTAGCAAAATCCAAAGCCCCTTTCCGGCCCCTGCTAAGCTTTAAACAGTCTGAAAGTCTCTTTTCTCAGTTGATGAGGTTTGATCTGTTTATGGGATAGCTTCTCTGGCTTTTAGTCTGAAATCGCGATTGTCTGAATTAAACATTAAATGGTCCCAAACCAGAAGTGCATTCCGTATTTAAAAGGACCCACTGTTGATGCTTGCCTCCTTTAACCATCCATTGTGGAACTTAAAAAAAAGACATCTTTCCCTCCCCTCTCTGAGTTCCCAGGTTATCTTTAGGCAGATAATTTGCCCTTTACCCAAATGTCTGACTCCTTTAGAAGCCCTGCAGGGAGCCTCTGCCTACCAGATGGTCTTGATCTTGCTCTCAGGGAGGGTAGATTGAATTAGCACCTTCACCTGTTCACTGCTTTAGAGACCTGGGTGATGGCAAATATTCATTAGAAGCCAGATGAATAGGATCCCCCACCCCCCCACCACTCTGCTGAGGACTGAGTAGTTACTGATGTGCATTATCTCACCAGACATTTATATGCTTGAGGTCATTTCTAAGGTCTCTTAAGTGTGCCTGTGTTATCCTGAGGGCAGGGATGGATACATCAGTACAGATTTTCTCTTCCAGCACTACTCTACTCCAGTTGCAGTTGGGCTTTGTGTGTTTTTCAGCTTTGTACAGCATGGAGGAAAGGTAAAACGCTCTTGCTTTACAAGAAGACTGGCCATTACATTACAAGTGGCTACTCTGTCTCTTTCCAGTTAGACTGAGGTGCATTGCTGATTTTAGTCATCTGAGATGCAGGTATACTGTCCCAGTTCCTCCCCAGGGTAATTGTTTCCTAATGGCATCTCTGAATGTCTTGAGGTCTCTTGTAGGAATCTCTCTGCTGCACGGATATGGTTGCTAACCTTCTCAGGGCACTGGCATTGCTGACTTTTAAGGGATTGAGTTCTGCTGTGTTGAGTTTCAGCACTGCTCCCAGGAGAATGTGAGTGTGCTTGTCACAAATGACCTGTTGTAAAATGTCAGCATGCTCTGAAGAAAAATCTTGTACTGTGAGGGTCAAATTCTGCTCCTTGTCTCTTGGCTGCTCCTGCTTACTGCTTAGACTCAAGAGCAACTCAGATGCGATCAGGCATCTTCGTGGCTTCACTTTTCTGTGTTGCAAGCTGCTTGTTATACAAAGATCTGGAGAGTCTGGGCATGTCATGGGTTTAGTGGCAAGGATCTTTTGTTCCTACCTGGGAGAAGGAATTGCTATACTGGGAAAAGGAGCTTTATTCTCCCTACTTGGGTCGTCAAGTGGGTGTGGCCCTGCTTGCAGGTCTGAGTTGAGGAGCTCCATGTGCCACTTGTGCTAGGAGTACCAGCAGCTTGGGAGTAAGGAAAGCTCAGCCTTTCTTTCTTTGACTATTTTAGCCAGCAGAGCTGGGGTCTGTGAATAAGGTATCTTCCAGAGTGAACAAGATATGACATACCTAGAGCTCCCATGGTTGGTGGCCTGCAGGTAGAGAGCAGTAAAGAACCTGATATGAATCAGAAGGCAATGTTAGGTGAGTAGATTGAGTACCCATTTAGAAATTGTGATCCATTTTCTGCTCTTCCCTTCCCCCCATCAAGACATCCTGTGTGGCTTTCCTTCCAAGGGCCATGATCCAGCTTGACTCATTGGCCTGAATTATTATGGTTATTATTACTATTATCTTTTCCTGGGGTGATGGGCAAGAGCCAGAAAATTAGCAGGCTGCTCTTCATCATTTCTCAGAAGTGAACTTCTGTGCATTAG